ATAGGGTGAACTCTGCTTGTGCTGCAAGTCGTTGAGAAGCAACTCTGATCTGGAGATTCACAAACCAGCAATGTGGCATCTTCCCACAGGCTGCCGGAAAGCTGGTGATTTTATTGAGACACTATAACCAGCTGCTTTAAAACAATAAAAATGAACATTACTTGAACTATACTTGAATGACATGTTCTGACGTTTTCTGTTTTGATTGAGAAGTGGCTAAAAGAAATGTGCCTCTGTAGTCACGCTTCCATTGACATATAAATGAGCAACTAAATTAGTTTAATGGACACACGTCAATTTAAAAAAAAACTTTCATCATTTGATAGCATTTTGAATTAATTAATATGAGTTACAGTGACATTTAAATTAACTTTGGGATCAATAAAGTGTTTTTTTTTTTATTGAATTTTGAACTGAATTGAAAAAGTTTTGGCGCTAAGATACGGCGGTTTGTTGGCCAAATAAAAATTGGTTTATTTTGCAAAACTGTGATGGGAACAGTATTTTCGGATGTTACTACTAGCGGAAAAGACAAGAAAGATGACCGGCTGGAGCTTCATGGTACAACATGTTTTTTTGTTAATGACTTATTGTGTGAACAAAATCACGTGTGATTTTAACTGCACTGGAAACACCACAAACGTGAAATTGTGTTTCTTCGACATTAATGGGATATTGACAAAGTTTTAACTTGTAGTGGAAACGCAGCTTGTGTTGCATCGCATTCACACTCCTTGGAAAAAGGGAAGTCGTGGATGACTGATAAAGATTTACAAGACACTGACATCAACTTCAAAGGAGTTGATTAAAATAATTTACAATATTGAGTATGACAGCAGTATAAATAAGCATATGTAAAACAGACCTGTCCTGCTCTATAGATGTACAGGCTGGGATAGCTGTTGATGCCTTTCCTCCTGCACAGATGGTTGTTGTCTCCACAGTTCACCGCTCCAATCCGGATGACTCCGTCCATCTCCTTGGCAAACTCCCTCCACTGCATGCAGAAAACAAAGTTAGAGTTTGACAAAAGGAAGGTTTACTTAATTATTAAGTTTACAAACACAACACATCTGTTTCATTAGAGATCCAGCTGTAGCATACGAAGCCTGAACTCGAGTCAAGTCAGCCACCACCGACATTTGGAGATTCACCAAAAGCTTATTGCATACACACTCAGGGTGCATTCTCCGTTTAGTCTGATTTAACAGAACTCTAGTCCGTTTGACTAGAAAGCCTGGTTTGTTTGGGGAGGTGTGAACGTGCAATCGAAGTCTGATGTGGACCAAAAAGCCTAACTCTGGTCCGCCTACAAACCTAGGTCTCTGTTCGGTTTTGAATGCATATGTGAACACCGGAGACCGCTCTGAAGATATGCAGCAGGCTCTAGCGTAGGGCATTCTGGGTAAATACAACCAAAACAAACATAAGACTTTAACATTAGCTGGAGAAACAGCTTGTGGTCTTTGACTGAAGACAAAAGAAAAAACATACAGCCTCTTAAAAAAAAACAAAAAACACTACTACATTTTTGTTTACATTTTATGAAGAAGGAAGTTGTGCACATTGTCTTCTGACATTTTTGCATCATTTCCTTCAGTGGCTCTTGGTGCAGCACCACCAAAGGAGAGGAGGGGAACAGGTTTATAGGCTGCATGACACTCCATCTGCTCTTGTGAAGACACGCTCTCTGATTAATTCGTCTAATAATTGCTTGACCATATAGGGACGGAGCTTTCATCCCCAGATTGTCTGTTGATGGATATATACCGAACATAAATAAAACAAGACTGTGCGAAGGTAACAGTCTTCTTTATAACAATGTCAATTCTACTTTGGTAAAGGTGGTAAACTTGAAGCAGCATGAAAATGTGGCAAGTAAACAGATTTTCAATTCCAAAGTCAGCATTTTCTTGTTTTTTTGTTTCTTTTTTTTTTTTGTTTTAACAGCAGCTAGAAATTCAAGTGTGTTCAGAAACAGCTGGCAACACACCTGAATTTCCCCAAGACTCCAGAGGCGTGTTTAGTGTGTCTATTTGTTTTGGTGTTTTATTACCGTCGGAGCCAGCTGGTGGCAGTGCGAGCATCGTGGGAAGTAGAAGTTGACAAACCAGATTTCTCCAGAGTTCACTGCTGCTTCTAGAACACAAATGCATAGAAGTTTACCCACCATTTTTAACCCACATGGTGGCAGTTCTCATCACTTTACTTGCAACAGTTTACTTCTTCATTTGCTGATTTTTGCAGTTGCTTTCTTTGTTTAAACCTTACCAAAGTCTCCGCTGTCCAAAGTGATAATCTCCAGATCATCATCGTAGATACCTGTAACAGACAGACCGATACATTAGTCGCAATACGATACAAACATCATGATAGGAGGAGGAGTTGGTGGTTGTAGAAGTAGATGGAGCCTTACCAAAGTCATAGCGGTAGAAGTTCCAGCTCTCATAGCGTCCTCCCTGCTGCTCGTCCAATCCCTTTTCTCCATATTTATCATATTTCTTTCTCAAGTCTTCGTCTTTCAGCACTTCATACGCCCGATTCACCTTCAGGAACTTCTCGTGAGCCGAGGAGTCACCCTAAGCAATCATTGGTCAGCATTAACGATGACAAGCATACTTTAATCTACCAAAATGTTTGAGATGTTTGGCTTTTCCTGTCGGTGACTCACAGGGTTTTTGTCAGGATGCATGGTGAGCGCCAGCTTCTTGAACGCCTGTCGGATCTCTCTTGTCGTCGCTTCCCTGCTGACCCCCAGCAGCTCGTAGTAGTCCGACTCCTTAGCACAAACCGCTGCCAGCAAGATGGCAAAGACGAAAACCAGGGACAGCGTGAGGGTAACAGGCTTTAGGAGCCTGTGGACGACCCTGGGCCCCATCACCGGTCCTTCTTCTGTAACCCCTATAACCTGGAACTGAAGGAGAATATCCTCAAAATTTATTTCTGTCATACAGATCTTGTCATTCTACCACCACTACACGGCTATATGATATTCTTCTATAATGTATAAACCCTCCAAGCAGATCCACTTTTGTCTCACTAGTCCAAAGAATAGTTTTCAAAGTGTCTTGAGAATTATCAAGATATTTTTTGCCAAATGGATTTAACTGGAAGTGGATATCATTAAAGCTGGTCTTCAACAAAGGGCTGCCGCCACGGCCATGTTAGTATTAATATCCGACTTGCGTTTTTGGCCGAACAACATGGGTGGGAAAAAAAAGATAAAAGTTGGTTTCTCGTGCGCTAATTTCACGTGCGCACGAGAGAATAATGTGAAACTAGACAAGATATTTAATCTACCTCGCCTTCCGTGAGTTTGTGAGTGACATTATCACATATATTTAGTGTTTTCAGAAAATTTCATTTACTTTCTGCAACCATTCTTTACAGTAGTAGTTTGTGAACATGACTTGGTTGGCTACCAAGAGTATCTCTTGCGCACCGAGAAACTGTACGCTCCATTTTTAAAGACAAACGTTACAACTTTCAGCTTCCTAACTGAAAAAAATACACCAAATTCTACATCACAAAAGGCAAACAACGTTTCTTTTAATCAGAAACATCCCTCACAACTAAGTAGTCTCTAAATGAAAACTATAAATATCCACCTAATAAAAACATTCCAGTACATTCGTTACTTGACCAGTAACAAGTTATAGAAAGAAAATGCAGTTATAACGACAATTAATTTCTACCCAGTCTAAGTTCAAACTTTTATTAAGGACAATAAATGTATCAACATTCTGAAAAGCGTTATTTTCACAGTATAGAAAGCCTTGTTTAATAGGCTAAGCTAAGCTAATTGGAACAAAAACTACTTATTAGCCTGTTAACCGCTACAGACGGGTACAGACGGTGCGGAATTGTGGTTAAAGCGAATATTTCCTGTAATGTATTTCCTGTAATTTACAAACGCTTTTGCGTGAATAAAACCAGAGCTTTGTTACCTTCGAAGAGATTCAACACCTTCCAGCCTGCAGATGAAGATCCGCATCAGCATCCGGCTCATGCCGGTATCAAGTTGTACACGATAACGGGGTCAACTTCCGTCTCTTTTCATTCAAAATAAAGTCTTGCCGATAACCGAAACGTTAAAAACAAACTCGTGACTGCGTCGTTCAGTTCGTACTTCTATGCTTCCCATCTAAGAGCCAGTAAAAGAAAGGGAGGGAGCGTTTCCAAATACGCACGGCTGAATTTGAACTTTTATTTTGACACCAGAAGCTTCAGACTCACGGAACCTAGCTCCAATATTTATGGGACTTTGATGAAATTTGACGCTCCGCAACCACACGAAGATGACGTAAAGTATGGTGCGTTCGAAAATTGTTCCGTTTATAATTTCATATTTCGAAAATATTTTACCTTAAATTCTGATTTGTCTGATACCCAATAAACCCATTAGATAAATAATTATTTGTCTAAATTATAAATTAAAGACATACTTTTAAAAATGTACACACAATATCTGAAATTGTATAATAACATGTTGTTCAGAGACAATTTTAAGCATACATCATCATTAAGGTAACTGAAAAGGGAGAGAGTTTTAAGTGTTAGTTTTGAATAGTTTTATAATAAATTATTTTGTTGATTGTGTTTCAAACCCATGGCCAGAAAACGATTGATTTGGTTATAGTTTAAACATCTTGTCTAGATAAAAGTTAAGTGTTATTTGTCATGTTTGCCAGGTGTTCTAAATATCATGGGCAACTAACATACTCGCAACTTTTCAACCGGAAATGGGCTTTAAAAGTCTCTAAGATTTATTTCTGCTTTTAGCTTAAAAGCCAGTATATTCAAACAGGTAGAACACATATGAGAAAGTACTTTGGTTTTGTATTATTATTATTATTATTATTATTATTATTATTATTATTTTATTATTTTATGCGATTAATTCGGAAAGAATTACGATATCTTAGTGTGCCCGGAAACACATTTTTAACATTTCTGAATATTTAAAATGTGCGGGTACATGTAAAAAAACGACACACTCGAACATCTCACCGATCCCATCAGTTACATGCGCCGGAAGTTTCTGCAGGCGAACCATCAGCTCACTCCAGCAATAATTTCAGCTCTCCGTGAACACGCTGTAGTTCGCTCAAAAAGCGGGCATTAAACCGCTCAACTTGTCCGCATTAGACCATTTAATAAAAAGGTTTGTGTGACAACAACAGGAAGTTACAGTTAGTGAAGAGCTAGCTCTGCCGGCTGAGTTTGTTAGCCACTGGCCTCTTTTCTCCCTTTCGTCACTTCCTACTTTTGAAACTCGCGGCTGTAGAAAAAGAAGAAAATGGAGTTACAAGGTACTGTAACTTTTATACAATCTTCTTCTCGCGCTCTGCTAGTGTTAAAGTGATTTTCACTTAATGTTGTGTGCTCAAGAACACGGAAAGCAGCTTTATATCTTGCTTTGAAACACAGTTAACCATTACTCATTCCGTTAGGATATTTTTTGCTCTCTACAGTAATTGTGATCATTCCGCGCAATTAGCTTTATTCAATTTAGCTTTAAAATAACTCAGTGGTGGTTAGAAATGTTACTGACTTCCTTAAGTGAGGTGAGTATATATTATCGTCCCCTATACATCAGTACTTTGCTCTGGAACCATCATTAGCTGAAATCACGGCAGTTTCAAGTGTTTGGTTCTGCCGTCTATCAGTGAGTCTGATTGGTTTCCTACATTTGCTTTCAAAACCTCTCATGTCCAGACATGACTCAAGTAGAGCAAGTGATGAAATTATCACTCATTTAATATTTAAAAATGGCTTCATCTGACAGACCAAAATATGAAGTTGAGTGGAATTTTTTTTAAGTACGAAGATGAAAATAATTCATACAAGTAACGAAAAAATAAAATCAAGGAAGAGAAAATTTTTTCCAAATCAGTTTTTTTCATTAAGAACTTATAGAACTTAAACAAAAAATGTGCGAATTTTTGTTTTTCATTCAGTTGGTGGAGAATACAGAAATTTTACTCAAGTCAGAGTGGCGATACTGACTTGAGTAAAAAGTACAGGGTAGAGCAATCCTACCCTGTACTTTAAAATTACTCAAGTAAAAAGTACAGGGTAGTAAAAATACTCCTAACAGTAGATTTATTTATTTATTTAAAAAAAAAAAAGTTACTGAATTACTAAACATAAATGAGTAAATGTAAATAGTTATTACCCAACTCTGTTTCCTACCAAGTTAAACCTCAACGCGATACACTGAAGTTTAAGATTGCATTTTTACAAAACATGAAGGATTTCTGTGGAATATAACCCTTGATAATTGTCCTGCTGTCGCTGTCTTGCAGTGGGCTCTGAACCGATGACTCTAGGTTCTCCCACCTCGCCAAAGCCGACTTCCGGAGCTCAGTTTCTTCCCGGTTTCCTCATGGGTGACCTGCCGGCACCAGCCAGCCCACAGCCCCGCCCTTTCAGCCTGACCTCGCCCCTCGCAGAGAGCCTGAGTGCAAGTCGAGGTCAGCAGAACAAAGCTGGATGTTGCTGTTGTCGTTGTGGGCAGTGTGTGTGTTAATCTGGAGTTTGTTTCAGGAAGCGCCAGTAGCGGAGGAGGTTCGGCCCCGCAGCCCGTCGTCCCCACGCCAAAAGATAAGAGCGGAGCGCCACCTGTTCGCAGCATCTACGACGACATGGTCACCATGGGAACGCCGCTCAGTGCACTCAAGCAGGTTGGTAGGCAGCCGGGTAAAAGAGTAGGACGATGAGACAGCCAGGTGAACCGGAAAGAGCAGTTAGCAAAAAGGACTTTATTTTGGCTAATCTAAGATCAGCTGCATCTCCATTAACCATAGGAATTTCACAGATTGAAATTTGCTTAATGGAAACACACCAATTTAGAAAAGAATTCAAGTTTTTCAATTTAAAAAAAGGAACTCCATGAGGTGGTTTTTCGAAACAGAACTGCAATGGGGTTCTGCTGTGGTGGAGCAGAGGTTAAGCACAACCCACGTAAGGAGGCCTTAATCCGTCGCAGGTCCGATTCCCGGCCTGGTGACCTTTGCCGCATGTCTTTCCCTTCTCTTTACCTACTTAGCACTTTCAAATAAAGGCCACTAGAGCCAGAAAAAAAGAAAAGCTGCAATGGAAAGACTTTTTCTGCTTCACACCTGTCACATGATCAACAGTCGGATGTTACTACTAGTGAAAACCACAAAGAAGACAACAGGAAGTGGTTGACTTTGTAGTTTTTTGTACAATATTTACATCCGTCGCTGCCATGATTTTTAATGACTTATTGCGTGAACAAGCGTCTTCATGGGTGATTTTGAGATCTTTTTTTTTTTTTTACAAAATTGTGTTTTTTCAACATTAGCAGAATATCAACAAAGATTTGCACAAATTTGTACTGCAAACGTAGCTGGTGGCTGATCTCTTAAGGCATAAACGTCAACATGGGGTCTCTGTTTTGTTTCAGTCTTTTCCAGTCATGCAGTCTCCCCTCTCGGCACGCCAGGCCTCCACTCCAGGAGCAGGTGCGTACTGATACGCCCCTCACTGACTCAGTTATCATAAAGTGAACCCCGGCTTGACCCCGTTTTCCTGTGTGGTGTCCAGTGTTCCAGCAGGGGTGCCTTTCTCCGGCGCAGGTGGATCCTTTCTACAGTCAGGGGGAGTCTCTGTCATCTGACGACCAGCTGGACCAGACCTGGGTCACCGTCTTTGGGTATTCATACTCAACCACGCTCTAGCCTGTTAGCTTTACAGTCACTTGCAGAAATCACTGGAAAATATTTTAATATATTTCGTTTTTGGTCATGTTACGATCATAAAGAAAACCAGTATGAAAGCACTTCGGCTGCAGCAGTATGGTAAGTCACTGATGTGTGTTTCAGTTTTCCTCCAGCCTCAGCCTCTTACATCCTGCTGCAGTTCGCTCAGTATGGAAACATTCTCAAACACACGGTGAGAGCAGCTAGTTACTTATTTTAGTGGTTTATCTCAATTACAAACCGACTGACACACACAAACTGGTGATGTGTTGGCAGATGGCTTCTCCTGTGAACTGGATGCACCTCCAGTACCAGTCCAGACTGCAGGCCAGGAAGGCCCTGTCCAAAGACGGGAAGGTGTTTGGAGACTCCATCATGGTGGGAGTGAAGCCCTGCATTGACAAGGTGCGTTCCTGCTGTTACCCAGCATGCCGTCTGTTTCTGTTTCACTTAAATTCTAAGTTTAACCCTTAATCGTTTCTCCCAGAGTGTGATGGGGAGCAGTGAAGCGGTCTCTCCGCCCCTCTCCGTCTCCTCCTCTGCTCTCCCCTCCACCCCTCGGTCCGCCATCCGGCCCCTCAGCGCCTCCTACAGGAGCTCCGGCAGCGACTACCAGGTGACTTCACATCTCCATCTCACTCTGTCTGCGTTTCCATTCGCCTTAGAATTGCGCCAGTTGGAATTATGAAAAATAATTTACTTAGTGAAAATGTTTTTGATGGCTTTTCTACATCTGTGTACTAGGGCCATGGTACATATAAAAAAAAAGGATGAGTACATTTCTGCCAAAAACATCTCAGAAATTTTCTACAAAAAACAAAAAAATCTCTGAATTTGAAAAGTCGAAAATTTGCTAGAAAGAACTCAGAAATGAATAGATTAATCTCAGAAATTTTCTAGAAATAAAACTTGGACATTTCTGAGTTTGAAAAGTTGTAAATTTTCTAGAAATTTATTTTAATAAGAAACTTAGTTTTCTTTCTGGAAAACTCAAAATCTCTCAACATTTCTGAGTATTTTGGTGGAAATGTACTACAATCTCCATCTATTTATGTATTTATTTTTGTGTACTACACCGTCATATTTTTGCGCCATATCAAAATTATTGTATTTTGCAAAGCTGCAGAGAAAACACTTTTGTCACATCACACGAGTCATATGATCAACACTTGGATTAGCAAAGGATGATGGTCCAGTTTTAACGATCTGTTGCATGAACAAACATATTCACGTGTGATTTTAATTTCATTTCTTATTTAACGGAAACACCGCGACTGCGAAGCTGTGTTTTTCAACATTAGCGAAACATCAAAGTTTTGCGCACATTAGTAGTGGAAACGCAGCTTCTGTCTCTGCATGCAGACTCGTTCTCAGTCGCTTCAGCTTGAACATCTGTGTACATCTGTCCATGCTCAGGTGGTGACAGACAGACAGACGCCCAGGAAGGACGACAGCTTTGTTTCCAAAGCTATGGAGTACATGTTTGGCTGGTGATGAGAGAGGAGTATATGCAGATGGAGAAAAGGATTCACTACAGTGTGTTTGGGTGTGTGTGTGTGTGTGTGTGCGTGTGTGTGTGAGAGAGAGAGAGAGAGAGACACGGTTGGAGAATCTCTCTGTCTGCTTAATTTTATCATGAATTTTTAATGTCTTTCTCAATAAAGTTTGTCTTTTTCCTTAATCTAATTGAGAGTCATTTCATTTTAATTGGGCACCAGGTGGGAATGCAGTCAAGGTGACCACTGGAGACGGACACCAGCCCCCACATGACCAGGCAAAGGGATGGACAGACAGACGGATACATGGATGTAAATAAGACAGAAAAATTAGAGTTTAAAAACAAGAAAAATCATCTTTTTGTGATGATGATGCAGGGTTTTATCAGGTAAGGAGAGATTCTAACTGCTGAGGAAAAACATGTCTGTTGGCATGTGTCGGGACAGGGTGTCCACACATATTTCAGAATAACTCAGGTTCACTCTGACATATTTTTGCCTATTTTAGGTAGCGCACAAGACACTTTTTGTGATTAAACAACATAAAACGTGTCTATATTTAGACAATTTCATTTTGTGCGCTAAGTAATGATTAGCTTCAGGAATTGGGGTTTCACTGAACATGAAATGTTCCGTGTTGACATGTGGCTCTTTGACCAAAACAACCAATCAAAGCCAAGAGGCGGGTCTTGGCGCAACCAATCATCCTCACGTGCTCAATGTGTAGAAACAACTTACCATTACAGGAAAACTTTATTCGCCATTGGTGGGACTTCTAACTAGCGTTAGCATTCACGGTCGGCTCCTCCTGGCTCTGATTGGTTGTTTCTGATTTTTGCAGTTTGCTCTGGGGGAAGGCAAAGACTACCTGTCGCATATTATACAACACATTTTATATACTTACTTTTTTTAAATTATTTTATCTACATTCTTTTCTAATTCAGTTAGTCAATTATTTCCTTCTCGCTTTTTACTCGTTTTTAATTGATTTTTAATCTCTTACTCTTGATTTTTCTGTAAAGCACCTTGGATAGTCTTGTACACCAAATGTGTTACACAAATAAATTTTCCTTGATTATACTGTCACGACATAATCACAGTTATGTATGTATTTCATTTATTTATTTGAATTAAAGTTACATTCCTGCTACTTATCCTCTAGATCACATGTGTCAAACTCAAGGCCCGCGGGCCACATGTGGCCCGC